TGCGATTGAGAGTGGTTTTATCCTCTTCCTTCGCATTTTGCTGTGAGGGAAATGGGGATTTCGACTGAGAGTGGTGGTGGAAGAGGAAGAAGATAGACGACGGTTGAGAGTGGCAATGGGGTTGTGAGTGGTGGTGGAAGACGATAGACAATGGTGGTGCAATTGAGATTGGTGGTGGTTATATTTTGTTATTTGAAAGGGAATTGGGGATTTCGATTTAGTGGTGGTGAGACGTATTTTAGAATCCTTTTTTTTTTTTTTTTTTTTTTTTTGGGATTTGGGTTAACTAAAATATTTTAATTAATATAATTAATTAATTATTAAATGTTTTACAAAAGAGTGAGTTGGCAAGTGGTGATGTGGCATTGCTGCATCACTTTATATGAGACTCTTTGTAAACCCCATTGTAAATATAGTCTTTCTGTTTTACAAAAGGTGTTTTGAACTTGTTGCTGTTATTGGTATTATGAGTTTCAAGTCATTTTTAGTTTTGTTAAGTTGTACATCAAATGTTTACGGTGTATTGTTGAGACAATCTATGGAATAAATTTTGTCTTTTTGGATATTTTGCCATATTTTAATTTCTTTAATAACTAGTTATTATTTGCACAAATCAGAAGATGTCTACTCTCTATTTAGTGAGTGAAACTGTGAAAGTGTTGAGAAGTCAGCATTTGTGTATAAGAAATTGTGACACTAGCTTAATTTTAACTTCAAAACCTCGGAATAAAAAGCAGGGTTTGATTCAATTTTATGACCTCTCACAAAACTTAGTCCAGTAACTTTATTTTGTTGGCATAAATTTGAAATTTGATTCCGGTTGAACCAACTAGAATACTGGATGGAGGTGGTGGGTAGAGTTTTGTGCTGCATTTTGAATAACAAATTTAACCTAAATGTGGTCGCATATTGATAAGAATATCCTTTAACAATCATCTAATCATTGTTGAATCATGAATGAGAGCTAATTACTAAACCTCCCCTGAGGTTTCAACTTCTTATTAGGTTAACAGAAACACTCCACTCTAACTTTCATTCGGGTTATTTTAATTAAACCCCATCTAACATAAAAAAAAAAACCTGACAATTACCCTTATAATTAGTCACTTACACCTTTTGACGTCCATTTTTGGGGTTAAAGTTAATTGAGAGAAGGGTAAAAAAGACCTTTTATGTTAAAATACTAAATTATATATTAAATATTTCAAAATAATAATAAAATATTGAGAAAAAGTTTTTTAAATATACTTTAAGATTTGATATTATTTAAAAAGAATTTACTTTTTATTTAGAAAAAAAAAGGTGTAAAACTATCATAGATCTCAATAACCACCATTTTTAAATCATCAAAATAGATGATCTTTTTTCTTTTTAAAAAAGTATTAGAATTTTCAATTTACAAAATATATATTTAATTTTTTTTTCAGTTTTATATTTTTACTTTGCAAATATTTTAATTTTCAACTTTGTGCCTTTTCTCAATTAATTTATACCAAAACTTGATGGTAAGAGGTGTAAGTGCCTAAGTGGCTAATTGGAGGGTGCAATTGTTTATGTTTATGGGTACGTTTGGTTCAGGAATATTGTATTACGGGGATATTATATTACTGGAAAATAGATTACCAGAGAATCTTTAGAGAAATGTGTTTGGTTGGTTTGAATAAATTAGTGGGGATGTTATAATAATATGTTTATTTTGAAGGATAAAGAGTGAAATGTTATAAGATTACTAAATTGCCTCTTTTTAAATAATAATATAATATTTTTTATATATTTCTTTTAACCCCTATATTTGAAATTTTGCTAAAAGACCACAGCCATATAAAACATTAATTATAACAAATCAACACCCACCCCAAGCCACTGCCGCCCGCCAGCCACCACCGCGACAGCTCGTAATGGTGCACGACGGCGGATCTGGTTGGTGTGCACCGATAAGGCCAATCGGCCATGGATTTCTGGTCATGAATATGGTCGTTTCACAGCCAAAGACTGGCATTCACGGCCAGATCTATGGCATTTTAGGCCACATCTTTGGCCGTGAAACGGCTAGACTGGTCGTTCTGTCCATGGTTTGTGATCCATAACTGGAAACGTCTTTAGTAGCACACGACAGCAAGATCCCGTCGGTCTTACCCCGATATGATGACTTTCGTGGCGGGCCAGCGGTGGTTTTGTGTGGTTGGGGTATTTTGTTAACTTTTAAACTTTTTTGGTGGGGTGTTTTAGCTATATTTCAAATGTAGGGGGTTTGGGGTAATTGTTATTTGGTAGACATATGAGGGCAAATGTGTCTGAAATGATCAAAGATTAAGAGCAAAATATGGTCAAAATTAAGATTACCTTGATAATCTTATATAACATCCATTGGAAGGTAATTGATTACCTCAATATTACCAACAGTAAACACATTTTATAATAAAGATTACGTAATATTTTATTACTGATCACAAACGAGGAAATCTTGAAAATTAAACAAAGATTACAAGATTAATCTTATATCACCCGAACCAAACACAACAAGTGTAATGAAGATAACCCTAACAAAGAGTGGGGTGATTGTGTTAACCTAATAATCTTTTCCATGTGCGTGGAAAATTGAAATGCTTTTTTAAAACTTGGGGATGTCTCTTTATAAACTCTGAAATATAAAGTTACTTCGTGACACACGAACATTAAGCATGAGTTAGTTTATGTGTTACAATTGATTGAGTTTGATTGTACAAATAAACTTGTAAGCCTGAATTAGTTTTCAAATAATATTACATATAGTTATTTCCGAGCATTGAGTTATATTATATGGAAAGAGTGATGACTTTCAAAAAACAAGTAATGTCAATCCAATAACTACAAAAACATTCATCTATCTACCCATTACATACAAATTTTCCTTGATGTGAACCAACTATTGGGCCATTAAAGCAATGAGAAAACACAATTCGCAGTCCATCTCCAGGCATTTCAACAATTATGGCTCTGGGCATGATATACAGAGCATAGATGTCCATGCTTGATTGATCTACATTTTTTTTTTTTTTTTAATTTGGCTAAGGTTCTCCCATTAGCCCCGTATCCCGTAGCAACGCTGAATCAATCAAATTCCACAGCACATGCAAAACCAATGTTCCAAAAACCAGACTATAACCATTCAAGGGTTTGGGTTGAATCAATCGATTGGACCGTATCCTATAAAATTATTCTAGTCTCTAAATGTTAAAATTCATCTAAAACACCCCTATAATACTCCTAAGGTTTTGAATGTGTCTAAAACATCTGATCGCACGAAGAAACTGGTGAATGGTGACGGCAGCGACGATCGACAAACAATCAAAGTTTAGAATCATGGGACTTTGATGTATAGGTTCCGAAGAATCGATGGTGGTAGGGAGTTCCATCGACGTCGAAAATTGTCGGAATCAAAAAGAAGTTGACAGTCGCGCACTTTAGTTGTCAGCGAGCAACGAAGGCTGAACAAATAGCCACTAAAAATGGATGGGTTTTGTCGTGAAGATGCCGTCAAGTCGAATGGTGGTATTTCTCCCTCGAACGATGCCAGAATCCGACAGGATTGAGTTGCAATTGGACTGCGACTCGACACTATTCCTACAGTCCAACCGCGGCTCAATCCGATTAATGAAAATACAGGTTTTTATAAAATACCGGACGGAGATACCGCCAGCTCCCGGTCGAACCGATCCGAACGGACGGTCTGGTGGTTTTTCAGAATACTGTGCAAAACTAGAGTATTGAAAGGAAATAACTTTAGCAATAAACAATTCTTTCATACAGATAAAAATAAAAAAATAAAGAAGAAAACATATATTTGCCTTTAACTAGTCCAGTGATAAACTGATTGTATAAATAACTGCCTATATATCTAACTTATGAACATGTTTGCTCTACACTCAGCTTCTGGAGCTGCACATAACTTTGAAAAATTATATAATTCCTACCCGCATCAAATTTCACTCATCATTTGTGCCCAGAACCTGCTGCTTAAGCTCTTTAATTTTTGCCGTCAACTCCTCTCTATTTTTCTGTAAAGTAGAAGTGCATTTCCAATTAGCACTCTCCAGTCTCATTGCTATCACAAATATAAAGTCTAAACTGTTTATCAAATGGGTACCTTGAACAACAGATAGCGGGTGCTGAACCAGATTGTGTAGCCAAGACCCACAACTTCCAGCAACTTAGGAAGCTGAATTCATAAGATGAAACATCATTAAAAATATCAAATGAAAATGACCATAAATAAGTAGCTTTCATAATTTTAGGCAACTCCAGATTCACAGATAGAATGAGAATGCATACGCACCAAAGGAATAGAATCAACGGCACTAACAATTGCTGATGCCAACCACACAGCAAGTAATGCACCACTTCCATATAAAATAACCGAATATGCATCTTCCGAGTCAAACTGCAAAGTATTTAATAAATCATCAATATAAGTATTTAACAAGTCATAAATTTGTCAAAGAATATGACAAACTAAAAACATTGTTCAACTAGGTAGTATTCTTTAAAAAATGTTTTCTCAAATCATAAATACCGACTGCACCAGAACATTGTTGTACGTTAAAGTTGTTCTGTTAACATGTTTTTTACATTAAAACACATTTCATTGTCTAAGAAATTCATAAAAAAGACAAACCCAAAAATTATAATATCCTAGAGTTGATAGACCCAGATGCATTCTTAATCATTATTCCACTGATTACTACACATAAAGAAGGAACAACTTAATACCATACTGATTTATAAGGAGTAAAGAATTGAGAAAAGCATGCAACTGCCAAGATCCCAAGAACTTCATAAAAAGTACAGACAAATCTATTGAAGGACAAAGCGGAAGAAAAAAGAGTATAGATAAAAAGGCATCTCTCACTAAACTTAACAGGAAGAAGCAAACTAACAAACAAATCATTAAGAGATTCCAACAAAATGGCTTAACTGAAGGAGCCGCTGCAATTTGTTTTCCCAAAAAAGAATCTTTTCAGTTGCTCAGGTAACCGCTCAGGATTAAAATTTCATAAAACAATTACATAGGAGCTTTCAAACATTCTAGAAATCATCATAGCAAGCAATTTGCAACAATAATAATAGATTTCAGAAGATCTATGATTAAAGATCATACATAGAAGTTGGCCAAAATTAGAACAGATCATAGGCAAGAATAGCATCAAGGTCGACTCAGATTTTTATGTCCTCAGCATGGCAATAATGCCATTATGAATTGTAAGTATCTTTATTGTCCATTAACATATAAAATGTAGTCTACGATTAGAAACATATCTGTTTATTTAAAAAGAACATCCATAAAACTCAGCAGATATAAGAACAGATCATAGGCAAGAATAGCATCAAGGTGGACTCAGATTTTTATATCCTCAGCAAGGCAAGAATGCCATTATGATGAGCAAACTAAATTATAGGTAACCTTCATCGTCCATTACTATTTAAAATGTTTGTCAATTAGAAAGAGAGAGAAGTAGAACCAGTTAAAAAATAAGGGGGAGAAAACTAAGCTCAGTAAAAACAGTCACAGAGTTTACCAATTTGCATTAAATTTTGGGAGTACAAACACTGGTAGTCACTACCTTACATAAGAGAAAACAAGAGAGAACTAATGAAGAAAGAAATGACTCTAATATGGTTGTCAAAGGAGAAAAAGAAAACAAATGAAAATAATGTTGCTCAGGTAACCGCTCAGATCAACATAATAGTCGACGTTTCATCAAGAATTTACAAAGACTTTCAATAAATTCTAGTAATCATCACAGCAACTAATTTCCATTTCAATTGGAGATCTGCCCCATATAGCAAGCGATGGACATCAATTAATGGTCTAAAACCAAAAGTCTCAGATTATCACTCTCAGACACTTGAAAACCAAAAAGATAACAGATAATCTGAAAAAAAGAAAGGTAAAAATTGAAACAATCTTAAGCCGTTAAAAATGGATTGAGAAAAAAAATTTGTATAACAAATAGCAAGGAAGAGCATACAGGGAACCAGGAGCCCATTGATCAACATTTTAAAATTTTGATGTTGCTCAGTTAATCATTCAGAGTGGCACAATTACCAAAGTCGCAACAAGAATTACATGAATAGTTTCAACCAGTCACAAGTCTTGTCATAGAAACAACTTTTGCATTTTTCTCCAATAATTTCCCATCAATTAATATAAAAAATAATGATCTGAGGAATACGTTGCATACATAGACAAGCACATAAAATATAGTGCATACGTAGGTAAAGTAAATATAAGTTAGAATCTACAAGCTTATCTTTGCTTTTAGTTATATAAAGACAACATAAGTAAATTAACAAGAAGTGAACGAACAACAGATAAACATACATGGCAGCACAAGGGGACCCTGGAAAAATTAAATGAACATTTTAAGAAGCTGTTGTTGCTCAGGTAACCGCTCAGATCGACACAATGGTCAAAGTTTCATCAAACATTCAAAGAATAGTTTCAACCAGTAAAAAGCATCATCATAGCAACAACTTTTGGTTTGATAAAAAAATAAAAGAATTATAATATTGCAAGTTTAAAAAGCTCTATTCACACACTTTCCCTTTTGATCAAAAGGGAAAGAATGATACAGATAACTACCCACCATCACAAGCACAAAAGCACTTACTAATCTTTCCAACGGCCATAAACTAACTCAGTGGATTTGAAACAAACCTTTATATTAAGATTATCCAGAAGTTCATTTGTTTGCTCATCCACAGGTGATTCTTCTTTAGGTACTTCTGTAGTTACACTTTCAGTGTATACACGCTTTTCAACTGGTTGAACATCTTCGACAGTGGCTACAACATCACGTTTATCACTGAAATACTGATTTGAACCACTCGAAGTTTCTTCAGAGTTTATTGCTCTTGGCGATGGGTTAGTGTAATACAGCGTTCCTGTAAAATATGTTATAACCCAAGGCATTAGGGACACATGTTATTCGTTAGCCATTTCTCCGCTTTCAAAAGAGACTAGCGACAGAGACCTAAACAATCATCATCAAACAGCAAACTAAAATGTTGCTGTTTTAAACGTACAAAACATATCCAATATCAATATTTTCAACCTACAAGAAGATCACAAACTAATAACTAAACTAACCTAAGCTAAGAATTAAAAAACCCCATAACAATACGGAAAATATAAACAAAATGGGCACACAAAATAATTAAAAGAAAAAAGGTCACGTAACAAAACATATAAAAAGGAAAAATGAAGCAGGTGAGCTTAAAATCAGAACCTCAACTCCTGACTATTCATTATCAGCTTATATCTAAACACTAAAACCCCATACCAAACCGACGGTACGGCTAGGGTTTGAAACCAAATACAACATTAACAAAATACACCCAGATAAGTGATAAAAAGAGCAAAAAATAAAATAAAATAGACCAAGGGTTTCATTTCGTACTGGAGCGTAGGCCATAACCGGAACGACAGACGGTGGTTTGCTTGAGAAAGAAAGAGGTTTTTGTGCGGCCTAGATTAGAGTATGCGGTGGCGAGTGAACGATGGTGATGGTGATGGTGATGGTGATGGTGATGGTGATGATTGTAAATGGGGAGATTGGAGACGGCTTGTGTTGTACAAAGCTCCATTTTTTCAGAAGGAGAGAGAAAGAGAGAGTGAAGTGTTTAAGGCGCTCGTTGCTGTGGCTGCTGCCTGCTCAGGTTAAAGCTAAGCTAAGCTTGAAGCTTGACGCTCTTGAATATGAAATGCTTTTACCCTTTTTATAATGTAATGCAATGCGCTTACACTCTAGGGTTACCTTTTTTTTTTTTTTTTATTTAATTTTTAAAATTAATTGTGGTTATCTATCTCCGATTCTCAGATTCTCCGCCGGTAATAATCTCCCATTTTTTTATATATATATATATATTTTTATTTAAATTAATATTTTTGAAAAAATTAAGTTAGATTGTTTTAAAAATTAACAAAACACCCTTGAATTTAGCTAAATATCATTTATAATAAAATATTAAAAATTAACAAAAACATCCTTATCTATCCATTAAATATCGACAACCGACTATCACTATCAGAGGGTGGCTGTAATTCGCTGTAATTAAGATATTTTTATTAATTTATAAACTTTTTTTTGTTTGAGTGTTTAGTTAAATTAACAAATTTAAAGGGTTTAAAAATAATTAAATAGAATAGAATTAGATTTTAAAAATAGGAAAACAATTATAAATATAATATGATTCGAATAATAAAACAAACAGATTTTTTAAAATTAAAATAATGATCACTTTAAATGGGCATTTGGTTGGGGGTTATATGAGATTATTGGGGTAATGTCATCTTATATTACTTGATTACCATATTTGGTGTCAAGTAATATAAGATATCGGTAATCTTCAAATATCAATAGTGGTTACTATTGGTAATATTGGAGGTAATCTGATTACTTCCATTTTCTTATGTATTATGAGATTACCAATATTATCTTTTTTTGTTACAATTTTATCCCTTATTAACAAAAATTTTGGACAATAATACCCCTCTTTTAAAACAAATTTACAGTAATATCCTATTTCAATTTTACCCTTATTTAATTAAAATTTTGGACAATAATGCCCTTATATTTAAAATAATTTATAGACCATCACTGCCACCTAGCCACCACCACCACTGCCACCCAGCCACCACCGCCGACAATGGGCCAACCGCCGAAAAATCACCGGATTCTCTAAAAAAGAACGAGACTCGGTGGGAGACTCCGGGAGTCTTCAATATGGCCGTTTCCAGCAATATTGATGGCCGAAAACGGCCATATGGCCGCTAACGGCCAGATCCGTGGCCATTATCTAGAATAGATCTGGCCACTAACGGCCAGATCTCGTCTAGATCTATTCTGGATAATGGCCAAGGATCTGGCCGTTAACGACCAGATCTAGCCTGATATGATCGTTTTCGGCCATCAATATGGTCGGAAACGGCCATATCGAAGCCTCTTGGTCACGTTCAGCTGCTGATGGGGACTTTCAGAGACTTTTGGCGGTGGTCTGCGGTGGCGGTAAGTGGTGGGGGTGATTTCATAATAAATTAAAGTTTTATATAAGCGGAGGTGTTTTAACTAAATTTGAAATATTGGGGGTTAAAAGAAATTATTCAAAAATTAATAATAAAAATAATATTATATTAATATTTGAAAAGGGGACAATTTGATAATTTAAAAGGTTTTTCGAATACTGTGCAAAACTAGAGTATTGAAAGGAAATAACTTTAGCAATAAACAATTTTTCATACAGATAAAAATAAAAAATAAAGAAGAAAACATATATTTGCCTTTAAAATCCAGTGATAAACTGATTGTATAAAACTGCCTATATATCTAACTTTGAACATGTTGCTCTACACTCAGCTTCTGGAGCTGCACATAACTTTGAAAAAATTATATATTCCTACCCGATCAAATTTCACTCATCATTTGTGCCCAGAACTGCTGCTTAAGCTCTTCATTTTTGCCGTCAACATCCTCTCTATTTTCTGTAAAGTAGAAGTGCATTTCCAATTAGCACTCTCCAGTCTCACTGCTATCACAAAATAAAGTCTAAACTGTTTATCAAATGGGTACCTTGAACAACAGATAGCGGGTGCTGAACCAGATTGTGTAGCCAAGACCCACAAATTCCAGCAACTTAGGAAGCTGAATTCATAAGATGAAACATCATTAAAAATATCAAATAAAAATGACATAAATAAGTAGCTTTCATAATTTTAGGCAACTCCAGATTCACAGATAGAATGAGAATGCATACGCACCAAAGGAATAGAATCAACGGCACTAACAATTGCTGATGCCAACCACACAGCAAGTAATGCACCACTTCCATATAAAATAACCGAATATGCATCTTCCGAGTCAAACTGCAAAGTATTAATAAATCATCAATATAAGTATTTAACAAGTCATAAATTTGTCAAAGAATATGACAAACTAAAAACATTGTTCAACTAGGTAGTATTCTTTAAAAAATGTTTTCTCAAATCATAAATACCGACTGCACCAGAACAATGTTGTACGTTAAAGTTGTTCTGTTAACATGTTTTTACATTAAAACACATTTCATTGTCTAAGAAATTCATAAAAAGACAAACCCAAAATATAATATCCTAGAGTTGATAGACCCAGATGCATTCTTAATCATATTCCACTGATTACTACACTAAAGAAGGAACAACTTAATACCATAATGATTTATAAGGAGTAAAGAATGAGGAAAAGCATGCAACTGCCAAGATCCCAAGAACTTCATAAAAAGTACAGACAAATCTATTGAAGGACAAAGCGGAAGAAAAAAGAGTATAGATAAAAGGCATCTCTCACTAAACTAACAGGAAGAAGCAAACTAACAAACAAATCATTAAGAGATTCCAACAAAATGGCTTAACTGAAGGAGCCGCTGCAATTTGTTTTCCAAAAAAGAATCTTTTCAGTTGCTCAGGTAAACGCTCAGGATTAAAATTTCATAAAACAATTACATAGGAGCTTTCAAACATTCTAGAAATCATCATAGCAAGCAATTTGCAACAATAATAAAGATTCAGAAGATCTATGATTAAAGATCATACATAGAAGTTGGCCAAAATTAGAACAGATCATAGGCAAGAATAGCATCAAGGTCGACTCAGATTTTTATGTCCTCAGCATGGCAATAATGCCATTACGAGTGAACAATGTAAGTATCTTTATTGTCCTACCTATAAAATGTAGTCTACAATTAGAAACATATCTGTTTATTAAAAAAGAACATGCATAAAACTAGGCAGATATAAGAACAGATCATAGGCAAGAATAGCATCTAGGTGGACTCAGATTTTATATCCTCAGCAAGGCAAGAATGCCATTATGATGAGCAAACTAATTATAGGTAACCTTCATCGTCCATTACTATTTAAAATGTTTATCAATTAGAAAGAGAGAGAAGTAGAACCAGTTAAAAATAAGGGGGAGAAAACTAAGCTCAGTAAAAACGTCACAGAGTTTACCAATTTGCATTAAATTTTGGGAGTACAAACACTGGTTGTCACTACCTACATAAGAGAAAACAAGAGAGAAATAATGAAGAAAAAAAGACTCTAATATGGTTGTCAAAGGAGAAAAAGAGAAACAAATGAAAATAATGTTGCTCAGGTAACGCTCAGATCGACATGATAGTCGACGTTTCATCAAGAATTTACAAAGACTTTCAATAATTTAGTAATCATCACAGCAACTAATTTCCATTTCAATTGGAGATCTGCCCCATATAGCAAGCGATGGACATCAATAATGGTCTAAAACCAAAAGTCTCAGATTATCACTCTCAGACACTTGAAAAACCAAATGATAACAGATAATCTGAAAAAAAAGAAGGTAAAAATGAAAAAATCTTAAGCCGTTAAAAATGGATTGAGAAAAACAATGTATAACAAATAGCAAGGAAGAGCATACAGGGAACCAGGAGCCCATTGATCAACATTTTAAAAATTTGTGTTGCTCAGTTAATCATTCAGAGGGCACAATTACCAAAGTCGCAACAAGAATTACATGAATAGTTTCAACCAGTCACAAGTCTTGTCATAGAAACAACTTTTGCATTTTTCTCCAATAATTTCCCATCAATTAATAAAAAAATAATGATCTGAGGAATACGTTGCATACTAGACAAGAACATAAAATATAGTGCATACGTAGGTAAAGTAAATAAGTTAGAATCTACAAGCTTATCTTTGCTTTTTTCTATATAAAGACAACATAAGTAAATTAACAAGAAGTGAACGAACAATAGATGAACATACATGGCAGCACAAGGGGACCCTGGAAAAATTAAATGAACATTTTAAGAAGCTGTTGTTGCAGGTAACCGCTCAGATCGACACAATGGTCAAAGTTTCATCAAACATTCAAAGAATAGTTTCAACCAGTAAAAAGCATCATCATAGCAACAACTTTTGGTTTGATAAAAAAATAAAAGAATTATAATATTGCAAGTTTAAAAAGTCTATTCACACACTTTCCCTTTTGATCAAAAGGGAAAGAATGATACAGATAACTACCACCATCACAAGCACAAAAGCACTTACTAATCTTTCCAACGGCCATAAACTAACTCAGTGGATTTGAAACAAACCTTTATATTAAGATTATACTATCATAGATCTCAATAACCACCATTTTTAAATCATCAAAATAGATGATCTTTTTTCTTTTTAAAAAAGTTATTATTGAATTTTCAATTTACAAAAATATATATTTTAATTTTTTTTTTCAGTTTTATATTTTTACTTTGCAAATATTTTAATTTTCAACTTTGTGCCTTTTTCTCAATTAATTTAATACCAAAACTTGATGGTAAGAGGTGTAAGTGCCTAAGTGGCTAATTGGAGGGTGCAATTTGTTAATGTTTTATGGGTACGTTTGGTTCAGGGAATATTGTATTACGGGAGAATATTATATTACTGGAAAATAGATTACCAGAGAATCTTTAGAGAAATGTGTTTGGTTGGTTTGAATAAATTAGTGGGTATGTTATAATAATATGTTTATTTTGAAGGATAAATGAGTGAATATGTTATATAGATTACTAAATTGCCCTCTTTTTTAAATAATAATATAATATTATTTTTATTATTATTTCTTTTAACCCCCTATATTTGAAATTTTGCTAAAAGACCACAGCCATATAAAACATTAATTTATAACAAAATCACCCCCACCCACCCCAAGCCACTGCCGCCAGCCAGCCACCACCGCCGACAGCTGTCGTAATGGTGCACGACCGGCCGGATCTGGTTGGTTGTGCACCGATAAGGCCTAATCCGGCCATGGATCTTCTGGTCATGAATATGGTCGTTTCACAGCCAAAGATCTGGCATTTTCACGGCCAGATCTATGGCATTTTATGGCCACATCTTTGGCCGTGAAACGGCTAGATCTGGTCGTTTCTGTCCATGGATTTGTGATCCATAACTGGAAACGTCTTTAGTAGCACACGACCAGCAAGATCCCGTCGGTCTTACCCCGATATGATGACTTTCGCTGGCGGCCAGCGGTGGTTTTGGGTGGTTGGGGGTATTTTGTTAACTTTTAAACTTTTTTGTGACTGGGGTGTTTTAGCTATATTTTCAAATGTAGGGGGTTTGGGTAATTGTTATTTGGTAGACATATGAGGGCAAATGTGTCTGAAATGATCAAAGATTAAGAGCAAAATATGGTCAAAATTAAGATTACCTTGATAATCTTATATTAACATCCATTGGGAAGGTAATCTGATTACCCTCAATATTACCAACAGTAAACACTATTTATAATAAAAGATTACGTAATATTTTATTACTTGATAACCAAACGAGGAAATCTTGAAAATTAAACAAAGATTACAAGATTAATCTTATATCACCCCGAACCAAACACAACCTATGTGTAATGAAGATAACCCTAACAAAGAGTGGGGTGATTGTGTTAACCTAATAATCTTTTCCATGTGCTGTGAAAATTGAAATGCTTTTTTAAAACTTTGGGGATGTCTCTTTATAAACTCTGAATAATATAAAATGTTACTTCGTGACACACGAACATTAAGCATGAGTTAGTTTATCGTGTTATCAATTTGATTGAGTTTGATTGTACAAATAATACTTGTAAGCCTGAATTAGTTTTTCAAATAATATTTACATATAGTTATTTCCGAGCATTGAGTTATATTATATGGAAAGATGTTTGAATTTCAAAAAACAAGTAATGTCAATCCAATAACTACAAAAACATTCATCTATCTACCCATTACATACAAATTTTCCTTGATGTGAACCAACTATTGGGCCATTAAAAGCAATGAGAAAACACAATTCGCAGTCCATCTCCAGGTCATTTCAACAATTATGGCTCTTGGGCATGATATACAGAGCATAGATGTCCATGCTTGATTTGATCTACATTTTTTTTTTTTTTTTAATTTGGCTAAGTTTCTCCCATTAGCCCCGTATCCCGTAGCAACGCTGAACTCAATCAAATTCCACAGCACATGCAAAACCAATGTTCCAAAAACCAGACTATAACCCATTCAAGGGTTTGGGTTGAATCAATCGATTGGACCGTATCCTATAAAATTATTCTTAGTCTCTAAATGTTTAAAATTCATCTAAAACACCCCTATAATACTCCCTTAAGGTTTGAAATGTGTCTAAAACATCTCTATCGCACGAAGAAACTGGTGAATGGTGACGGCAGCGACGATCGACAACCAATCAAAGTTTAGAATCATGGGACTTTTGATGTATAGGTTCCGAAGAATCTGATGGTGTTAGGGAGTTCCATCGACGTCGAAAATTGTCGGAATCAAAAAGAAAGTCTGACAGTCGCGCACTTTAGTTGTCAGCGAGCAACGAAGGCTGAACAATAGCCACTAAAAATGGATGGGTTTTGTCGTGAAGATGCCGTCAAGTCGAATGGTGGTATTTTCTCCCTCGAACGATGCCAGAATCCGACAGGATTGAGTTGCAATTGGACTGCGACTCGACACTATTCCTACAGTCCAACCGCGGCTCAATCCGATTTAACTGAAAATACAGGTTTTTATAAAATACCGGACCGGAGATACCGCCAGCTCCCGGTCGAACCGATCCGACCGGACGGTCTGGTCCGGTTTTCAGAATACTGTGCAAAACTAGAGTATTGAAAGGAAATAACTTTAGCAATAAACAATTCTTTCATACAGATAAAAATAAAAAAATAAAGAAGAAAACATATATTTGCCTTTAACTAGTCCAGTGATAAACTGATTGTATAAATAACTGCCTATATATCTAACTTATGAACATGTTTGCTCTACACTCAGCTTCTGGAGCTGCACATAACTTTGAAAAATTATATAATTCCTACCCGCATCAAATTTCACTCATCATTTGTGCCCAGAACCTGCTGCTTAAGCTCTTTAATTTTTGCCGTCAACTCCTCTCTATTTTTCTGTAAAGTAGAAGTGCATTTCCAATTAGCACTCTCCAGTCTCATTGCTATCACAAATATAAAGTCTAAACTGTTTATCAAATGGGTACCTTGAACAACAGATAGCGGGTGCTGAACCAGATTGTGTAGCCAAGACCCACAACTTCCAGCAACTTAGGAAGCTGAATTCATAAGATGAAACATCATTAAAAATATCAAATGAAAATGACCATAAATAAGTAGCTTTCATAATTTTAGGCAACTCCAGATTCACAGATAGAATGAGAATGCATACGCACCAAAGGAATAGAATCAACGGCACTAACAATTGCTGATGCCAACCACACAGCAAGTAATGCACCACTTCCATATAAAATAACCGAATATGCATCTTCCGAGTCAAACTGCAAAGTATTTAATAAATCATCAATATAAGTATTTAACAAGTCATAAATTTGTCAAAGAATATGACAAACTAAAAACATTGTTCAACTAGGTAGTATTCTTTAAAAAATGTTTTCTCAAATCATAAATACCGACTGCACCAGAACATTGTTGTACGTTAAAGTTGTTCTGTTAACATGTTTTTTACATTAAAACACATTTCATTGTCTAAGAAATTCATAAAAAAGACAAACCCAAAAATTATAATATCCTAGAGTTGATAGACCCAGATGCATTCTTAATCATTATTCCACTGATTACTACACATAAAGAAGGAACAACTTAATACCATACTGATTTATAAGGAGTAAAGAATTGAGAAAAGCATGCAACTGCCAAGATCCCAAGAACTTCATAAAAAGTACAGACAAATCTATTGAAGGACAAAGCGGAAGAAAAAAGAGTATAGATAAAAAGGCATCTCTCACTAAACTTAACAGGAAGAAGCAAACTAACAAACAAATCATTAAGAGATTCCAACAAAATGGCTTAACTGAAGGAGCCGCTGCAATTTGTTTTCCCAAAAAAGAATCTTTTCAGTTGCTCAGGTAACCGCTCAGGATTAAAATTTCATAAAACAATTACATAGGAGCTTTCAAACATTCTAGAAATCATCATAGCAAGCAATTTGCAACAATAATAATAGATTTCAGAAGATCTATGATTAAAGATCATACATAGAAGTTGGCCAAAATTAGAACAGATCATAGGCAAGAATAGCATCAAGGTCGACTCAGATTTTTATGTCCTCAGCATGGCAATAATGCCATTATGAATTGTAAGTATCTTTATTGTCCATTAACATATAAAATGTAGTCTACGATTAGAAACATATCTGTTTATTTAAAAAGAACATCCATAAAACTCAGCAGATATAAGAACAGATCATAGGCAAGAATAGCATCAAGGTGGACTCAGATTTTTATATCCTCAGCAAGGCAAGAATGCCATTATGATGAGCAAACTAAATTATAGGTAACCTTCATCGTCCATTACTATTTAAAATGTTTGTCAATTAGAAAGAGAGAGAAGTAGAACCAGTTAAAAAATAAGGGGGAGAAAACTAAGCTCAGTAAAAACAGTCACAGAGTTTACCAATTTGCATTAAATTTTGGGAGTACAAACACTGGTAGTCACTACCTTACATAAGAGAAAACAAGAGAGAACTAATGAAGAAAGAAATGACTCTAATATGGTTGTCAAAGGAGAAAAAGAAAACAAATGAAAATAATGTTGCTCAGGTAACCGCTCAGATCAACATAATAGTCGACGTTTCATCAAGAATTTACAAAGACTTTCAATAAATTCTAGTAATCATCACAGCAACTAATTTCCATTTCAATTGGAGATCTGCCCCATATAGCAAGCGATGGACATCAATTAATGGTCTAAAACCAAAAGTCTCAGATTATCACTCTCAGACACTTGAAAACCAAAAAGATAACAGATAATCTGAAAAAAAGAAAGGTAAAAATTGAAACAATCTTAAGCCGTTAAAAATGGATTGAGAAAAAAAATTTGTATAACAAATAGCAAGGAAGAGCATACAGGGAACCAGGAGCCCATTGATCAACATTTTAAAATTTTGATGTTGCTCAGTTAATCATTCAGAGTGGCACAATTACCAAAGTCGCAACAAGAATTACATGAATAGTTTCAACCAGTCACAAGTCTTGTCATAGAAACAACTTTTGCATTTTTCTCCAATAATTTCCCATCAATTAATATAAAAAATAATGATCTGAGGAATACGTTGCATACATAGACAAGCACATAAAATATAGTGCATACGTAGGTAAAGTAAATATAAGTTAGAATCTACAAGCTTATCTTTGCTTTTAGTTATATAAAGACAACATAAGTAAATTAACAAGAAGTGAACGAACAACAGATAAACATACATGGCAGCACAAGGGGACCCTGGAAAAATTAAATGAACATTTTAAGAAGCTGTTGTTGCTCAGGTAACCGCTCAGATCGACACAATGGTCAAAGTTTCATCAAACATTCAAAGAATAGTTTCAACCAGTAAAAAGCATCATCATAGCAACAACTTTTGGTTTGATAAAAAAATAAAAGAATTATAATATTGCAAGTTTAAAAAGCTCTATTCACACACTTTCCCTTTTGATCAAAAGGGAAAGAATGATACAGATAACTACCCACCATCACAAGCACAAAAGCACTTACTAATCTTTCCAACGGCCATAAACTAACTCAGTGGATTTGAAACAAACCTTTATATTAAGATTATCCAGAAGTTCATTTGTTTGCTCATCCACAGGTGATTCTTCTTTAGGTACTTCTGTAGTTACACTTTCAGTGTATACACGCTTTTCAACTGGTTGAACATCTTCGACAGTGGCTACAACATCACGTTTATCACTGAAATACTGATTTGAACCACTCGAAGTTTCTTCAGAGTTTATTGCTCTTGGCGATGGGTTAGTGTAATACAGCGTTCCTGTAAAATATGTTATAACCCAAGGCATTAGGGACACAAGTTATTCGTTAGCCATTTCTCCGCTTTCAAAAGAGACTAGCGACAGAGACCTAAACAATCATCATCAAACAGCAAACTAAAATGTTGCTGTTTTAAACGTACAAAACATATCCAATATCAATATTTTCAACCTACAAGAAGATCACAAACTAATAACTAAACTAACCTAAGCTAAGAATTAAAAAACCCCATAACAATACGGAAAATATAAACAAAATGGGCACACAAAATAATTAAAAGAAAAAAGGTCACGTAACAAAACATATAAAAAGGAAAAATGAAGCAGGTGAGCTTAAAATCAGAACCTCAACTCCTGACTATTCATTATCAGCTTATATCTAAACACTAAAACCCCATACCAAACCGACGGTACGGCTAGGGTTTGAAACCAAATACAACATTAACAAAATACACCCAGATAAGTGATAAAAAGAGCAAAAAATAAAATAAAATAGACCAAGGGTTTCATTTCGTACTGGAGCGTAGGCCATAACCGGAACGACAGACGGTGGTTTGCTTGAGAAAGAAAGAGGTTTTTGTGCGGCCTAGATTAGAGTATGCGGTGGCGAGTGAACGATGGTGATGGTGATGGTGATGGTGATGGTGATGGTGATGATTGTAAATGGGGAGATTGGAGACGGCTTGTGTTGTACAAAGCTCCATTTTTTCAGAAGGAGAGAGAAAGAGAGAGTGAAGTGTTTAAGGCGCTCGTTGCTGTGGCTGCTGCCTGCTCAGGTTAAAGCTAAGCTAAGCTTGAAGCTTGACGCTCTTGAATATGAAATGCTTTTACATTATAAATGCAATGCGCTTACGCTCTAGGGTTACCTCCCTTTTTTTTTTTTTTTTTTTTGAGGTTTTTTATTTAATTTTTAAAATTAGTTGTGGTTATCTATCCTGATTTATTTTCAATTTTTTTCTTTAAAATTATCTCTCCCTATCTCCGATTCTCAGATTCTCCGCCAGGTAATAATCTCCCTTATTATTTTTTTTTTATTTAAAGTAATATTTTTGAAAAAATTAAGTTAGATTGATTTAAAAATTAACAAGAGTAATACTACATTTTCATCACACTTTTACACAATTTTCATTACATAATGATGTGACATATATTACAATCATACAAATTTTTAATTATTTTTAATTTTTAATATTATAATAAAATTTGTGTGGTTGTAACTTATACAAAATGGTGTAAAAAATAGTATAAATATGACATTACTCAATTAACAAAACACCTTTTAAGATTTTAAATTTAACTAAATATCTTTTATAATAAAACATTAAAAATTAACAAAAATATTCTTACTTATCTATTAAATATCGACAAGCCACCATCATCACCAAAGTGTGGTTGAAAGTTGATGTAAGAAAGATACTTTTATTAATTTATAAATTTTTTTTGTTAGAGTGTTTAATTAAATTAATAAATTTAAAGGGTTTAAAAATAATTAAATAGAATAGAATTAGATTTTGAAAATAAGAAAACAATTATATATTTTAAATAGAATATGATAAAAATAATAAAACAAACAGAAATTAAAATCATGATCACTTTAAGGGTATGCAATGTCCATTTTATCCCTATATCAAACCATTTTAACCTTAAAATATTTATTAAATTCCTCTTAATGTAGGCCACTCTCAATCACTTCAAATTCAAAAAATTTAAAAAAAAAAAAAAAAAAAAATCTCCCTTTCTCTCCGAGCTCTCTTCACTGTTAACTTCCAAATTTGCAATGGGAACCCTGACCAGAGACCAATATGTTTACATGGCGAAACTCAGCGAGCAAGCCGAGCGCTATGAGGAGACGGTCAACTTCATTGAAAGTCTCGTGAGTCGTGACTTCCTCTGCTTCAGCAATCACCTCTCCGTTGCTTACAAGAACGTGATCGGCTCTCATCGCGCCGCGTGGCAGATCATCTCGTCGATTGATCTGAATGAGGAGAGCCACAGAACGATGACCACGTGGCGCTGGTTAAAGAGTATAGGTCGAAGTTGGAGAATGAGTTATCCGGTGTGTGTGGGACCATATTGAAATTGCTGGACTCGCACCTGGTGCCGTCGGCTACTTTGAGTGAATCAAAAGTGTTTTAATTGAAGATGAAGGTATTCAGTTTTGTTTGTTAGTTTTTAACAACCTTCTCTTTAAGTTTTGTAAAATTTATCCGAGCAGGGGTTATGCCAAATGGGTTTGTCTCTAAATAAGCCAAACTGCAGAATTTTACATTGTATTTTATTTTATTTTGATTTTTGTTTGTGTAGTTTGGATCTGCAATTTTGGTTTATTTATTTGAGTTTGAAGGAAATCGCGATGGCTGAGCTACCACCCATACATCCGATAAAGTTGGGGCTGGCACTCAATTTCTCTGTGTTTTACTATGAGATTCTGAATTCATCAGAGAAAGCTTGTAACATGGGAAAACAGGTTTGTCCCGTTGTGCCATTTTAAGTAAAAGTTTATGCCCTTTTTTTCTTGCGGTGTTGCAGTTTTTAAATAGGGATCTGTTTGAAAGAGAGTAGGCTTGTTTCATGCCTGTAGTATAAAAATTATACATAATAGGATGATGTACGTATTATTACTCAAATTCATATCTGAACATATTAATTACTTTTTTATGTGGTACAAAGTAGAGGGTCCAGGCTTATTTATTAATTTAGGTTATGGATGCATATCCTTGACATAGTTTTCTTAAAGTCTCTTTACTCTTTTAGAATCGGTTGGAACTGTATGTGGACATGGCTGCTTTGTTGAACTTGTTTTAATGGGAATTAAAAAGTTGAGAACAATGAATATCTTATATCTAGTTCATCATTTTGGTTTTGTATACCACTGCGGTTTTTCATTTCTTGATTGCTGTATTGACAATGAAATTATGGTACCATGCATATTGGGTGCAATTATTACATGATTCAGGTGAAGTTGCTTTTGTAAGAAGAGAAATTGAAACTGCCTTGTGTACCATTGTCATAGAATTGCCAACATGTGTCCTAGGAACTGGTTTTGGTTTGTTGCTTGGTTTATCATATTTGATGAAATTTTATCTTACAGGAAAATAAATCTATAATCATGTTACATATGCAAAAGTCAATGTTATAACTAGTGTAATTCCCTTTGTTAATGTTGGATTTAAGTTAAGGAAATGGGTGAAAGTGGATTTTAAATAATCATTAAGGCGTTTAAAAAGCTTATTATTTGCATGTCTTGGTTTCTAATCTTGAAATGTTGCATCTTTAGGGGTTCTTACTTGGTATCTCAACATGCTGACATTTTACCTGCTTATGCATTCATATCACGTGATGAGCTCTTAGCTGGTTCGTTTCACCTTAGTGAAAGTGTGGATTTTGACAGTTCTAATTATGGCATGGCCTGTTATAGGCTGTGTTGTAGTTAGGAGTTTGTTCCATTAGTTAGGATAGTCGGACTATGAACATAGCTGATCTTTATTTAAATGTTGATATGGAATCAGAATGCTAAGATTGGTGAGAAAATATATCCAAGTGGTGTACTAGTAATTCCAAGGGCATCTTTGAGGTGAAGTTAAGACTTATGGATCATATAATAACAAAGGAGCTGACCCTCTAACAACAAAGTCCCTTCATCTAAGGGCTAATGCTAAACTTCCTAGTCATCCGCTCTCATCAAGTTGATAGAGCCTTGCACATATTTTCAGAATGATAAGCCATATGTAGTATTAATAAACGTACAAAGAAAGATGTAAACTATAAATTATGTTGTGCATTTGATACAACTTATTTATTGACCTAAAGAGTTTTTTAATGTTTAAGGCTCCGTTTGGCTCACTCTTGGGAATATTATTATTAGTATTCCCAATAAAGTTAAACAGTAAAATTACAAAAACTCACAATATTATTCAACTTTTTTTAAACCCCCTAAATTTGTTAATTTAATTAAATACCCTTAAATATTTTTTTTAGAAATTGCAAAATCATCCCAACAACCCCCATTTACCAGATTCCGGCCACCACCGTCGGAAGATGGCTGGAAAAGGCTAGATCTAAGGCCAAAGATCTGGTCGTCGTCAATGACGACTAACATATGGTCATCGTTGACTATCAACGACGGTCAGATCTTTGGCTGTTGTTGACGAGCAAATACGGCAAGATCTGGTTGTCAATGGCCAGATCTAGTCGTAGATCTAGCCTTTGTCGGCCAGATCCATCATAAAACTCGTCCAATTCAACTTTTTTTAACTTTTTTCAAAAAACTTTTTTAAAAAGTGTAAAAAAGTAAACCAAACGGAGCCTAAAGCACTCTCTAATTTTTTAATTGGAAATTGAATTTTTTAATTTTTTTAATTTTTTTTTATGAATGATTAATAAACTATTTTATGCCTATCAGAGAAGTTAAGATGTTCCGCTTCTTTGGTTAAGCTTTTTTTAACAATTTTGAATTGTGAAAGATGCTCTTAATTTATTAGAAATTTCACCTTCCGATTGAAAATAACTGTCTTAATTGACAACCAAACAACGAACAACTTTTTAACGAAGCTCTAATTTTATAAGATATACCCAATCAACCCTTAGTTTGGCGTCAAAATATGGTGGGGATTATTTTATAGTCATAGTGAATATATTTAACTAGTTTTATAGAGAAATTTCATAAAAGTTTCAATAGGGGTAAAATGGTCATTTCACACAGAATCATGTGCTCAAGTGAAAAGTGAGTATGATAAATATAATATATCAAGTGTGCTAGCCGTGAGAATAGAGTGGTAGAAAGATTATGGAAAATGCACGTGGTGTGATGCCGAAATAAATACGTGTTTGTAAAGTAATANATTTTTTTTAGAAATTGCAAAATCATCCCAACAACCCCCATTTACCAGATTCCGGCCACCACCGTCGGAAGATGGCTGGAAAAGGCTAGATCTAAGGCCAAAGATCTGGTCGTCGTCAATGACGACTAACATATGGTCATCGTTGACTATCAACGACGGTCAGATCTTTGGCTGTTGTTGACGAGCAAATACGGCAAGATCTGGTTGTCAATGGCCAGATCTAGTCGTAGATCTAGCCTTTGTCGGCCAGATCCATCATAAAACTCGTCCAATTCAACTTTTTTTAACTTTTTTCAAAAAACTTTTTTAAAAAGTGTAAAAAAGTAAACCAAACGGAGCCTAAAGCACTCTCTAATTTTTTAATTGGAAATTGAATTTTTTAATTTTTTTAATTTTTTTTTATGAATGATTAATAAACTATTTTATGCCTATCAGAGAAGTTAAGATGTTCCGCTTCTTTGGTTAAGCTTTTTTTAACAATTTTGAATTGTGAAAGATGCTCTTAATTTATTAGAAATTTCACCTTCCGATTGAAAATAACTGTCTTAATTGACAACCAAACAACGAACAACTTTTTAACGAAGCTCTAATTTTATAAGATATACCCAATCAACCCTTAGTTTGGCGTCAAAATATGGTGGGGATTATTTTATAGTAATAGTGAATATATTTAACTAGTTTTATAGAGAAATTTCATAAAAGTTTCAATAGGGGTAAAATGGTCATTTCACACAGAATCATGTGCTCAAGTGAAAAGTGAGTATGATAAATATAATATATCAAGTGTGCTAGCCGTGAGAATAGAGTGGTAGAAAGATTATGGAAAATGCACGTGGTGTGATGCCGAAATAAATACGTGTTTGTAAAGTAATAGAAAGAAATTAAAGAATAAGGGTAAAATGGTTTTTTCACTCACAACTAGATGAAAAAGTGGAGAGTGAAAATGACCAAGAACATGTGTTAAATCCATTGAAAGTGAAGGTATATCGGTAAATGCACATATGACATAATTGAAATTATCATAAAAGTGCAAGGACAAAATGTGAATATATATATATATATCCACTAAATAACTTTTGTAAACATATATACATAGAGGTATATAATGGTAAAATTCGAAAATTCTAATTTTAATTCATATAAACATATATACAAAATAGCTGATATACTTTAATAAGTACAAGGTAGTCTTGGACAGTGTCGCCAAGCTCCTTCGCTTCTTGACGTCCCACCTGATTGTAAATAATCAAATACCTGCAAAACAGTAGAATAACTGAGTGAGTACTAATTGCTCAGTAAGTAAACCAAACTGCATTACTGTTTTTCCTCCGTTACTCATATTCTGACTTTCTTTTTCTCATTTTATTATTTGCTAATATTTTTCATTCTTTTTTGATATTCTGCATTCTTTCTTGATATTTTGATTTGCTACTTACCAATGTGCAAAGACAATTAATTAAACTGTATATTGTCGAGCACATAAGAAATAATAAATCATGTAAGTAGCATAATATATACGCAGAATAATAAGGCTCTGTTTGGTTCACTTTTTTACACTTTTTAGAAAAGTTTTTGGAAAAAAGTTGAATTGGGCGGGTGTTACATAGGATTTTGAAATAAATAAAAATACCCCTTATGTTTGTTTATTTACTAAACACCCCTCTATATTTGTTTATTTACTAAACACCCCTATAATAAAACATTAAAAGTTAACAAAAACACCCCCAATCCACCCATTAAATATGGACAGCCGGCCACCACTATCGGAGGGTGGCCGGAGTCGTCGTATCGGCGCATGATCGGTTGGATCTTGCCGGTCGTGCACAGATATGGCTTTTTACTGTGGATCTGGCCGGCAAAGGCCAGATCTACGGCTAGATCTTGCCGTATTTTCTCGTCAACGACGGCCAAAGATACGGCCGTTGTTGATGGTCAACAACGACCATGTGTTGGCCGTCGTTGATGACTAGTTACGACCAAAGATCTGGCGAAAAAGGCTAGATCAGCGCACTACTGGCCAGATTCAGCCAGTAGTGTGCCATTATACCAGATTCTGGCCATTTTTCGGCAGTGGTGGTCGGAATCTGGTAAATATGGGTTTTTGGGGTTTTTTTGCAATTTATAAAAAAAAATTAGGGGTATTTAATTAAATTAACAAATTTAGGGGGTTTAAAAAAAGTTGAATAATATTGAATAATTTTTTAAGTTTTTGCAATTTTACTGTTTAACTTTATTGGGAATACTAATAGTAGTATTCTCAAAAGGGAGCCTAAATTTTTCTGAGAAAAGAACTTTCTTTTCTTTTCTGTTTTTGTTTCTTATGTTGTATCTCTTTCTTTTCTTTTCTTTTCTTTTCTATTTTGGTTTGCTGATCGGACTAGGTTGAGGCATGGATTTGGAACCCTGGCCATGTGAGTGTGTACTGGGTACAATCCTCATCTACATGCACTGCTGACGGACTGTACAAATGTTGTATCTCTCTGTTGAGGTCATTCACTGATGGCGGTGTGCATGTAGGTATTCTCTGCTGGGTACAGTCCTCATCTACATACACTGCTGACAGACTATACAAATACTGTATCTCTCTGCTGAGGCCGCTCACTGATGGCAGTGTGCATGTGGGTATTTCTGTCACTTACAGGTTCTCCATCGCAACAATATTATATCATAGCATGTTGTGGAAAGAGAATAGAAAGAGATACTATACACATTTCTAAATAAATTTCCAAGCTATGAAAATTCAACATTTGCATTCTTTAGTAAATGAGAAAAATACATATTTACATGTGAACTTAAAAGAAAACTACAAGCTATTTTCTTTTCTTTCTTTTTCTCATTTTTTGCTAACATATTATTTACTATTCTCATTTACTAAATCAATGCTATATGTAAATCATATGCACCATATATGCATGATCAAGCTCATTCTTTGATGTTCTTTTCAAGTTTACATACACAACCTTGAAAATTCATTATAGCATAATGGTATGTCATAACATACTCTACCATTCTCTACTATCTCAAATGTCATATCAAAGTAACACTTTAACATGCAATTCTTTTCTAACACTTTCATGTGCTATTGAAGAAGTAGTAAATGTTCAAGTAACTAGAATCAAGCACCAATGGTCATTTCCCTCATGAAACTAATATGACCAAGTGATATTTTAAATTTTGGCATAATAATATGCACTTTTAAATACTAACATTTATACTTGTTTAAGTCCAACATAATCTTTTTACTTCAATTCTTGTCTTTCTCTAACATTTTCTTCAATAGGGTTTAACCAACTCTTGTATGCATTTTCTTTTTGGATTTTCATTAAACACTCCATATGCACATGCAACTACTATGTTGGCTACACTTCTACATTTCTCTAAATCCACCAAAATTTGAGCCAAAAACTCATTAACTATACCATCAAACCTGGCCGATTTCAACAAATCTCAACACTTCAAAATTTCAACACTAATTCTTTTATAACTTTACCAAATCACCACATACTCATACACTACTTCTTATGGCTGCAAATTATATATCATTCAATATAAAAAACAGCTAACAATTCTCATATACAATCACATAAAAACAT